GTACATTTTATTTATCAACTTATATAATGTCCAATATTTAAGAACCCGAGCTTCCGTATAGTATGAAAGTGTGGTGTTTTACAGCTTTAACAATAACATTGTTAAGAAATATCTTTTTTTTTCAATATTGATGTCTAGTCTGTTCTTATATAAAACCGAGATTCAAAATAGTTTTTATATTTATAAATAACTTGCGTTTTTAATAATAATAAAAAATAAATAAGATTACGTTTTATTTTTCTTGCAAAACGTTCTATTATAATGAAATAAAAACAAAGAAAACAATTTCATAATTCATATTTCAGCACTTATTTTCACTTCACAAGAATTTATTGTAATTAGATGCAGGTATGATTTTGTACCGAAAGGAAAACTATGTCAACACACCAATCTTTTAAATGTATTAAATCAAAATTATTACTACATGTGAATATGAATTTTCATATTTATCACCTTTGCTAGTTTTGTATATCATTAAACTCATTCGATTTTCTTTATTTTTGATTGGTCCGTCTTTTTGGAAAATATGTAATTGCATCTAAAAATAGAAGTATAATATATAGTAGATATAAATTTATTACGGTGTAATTTTCGCTTAACATCAAAGAAATAGGACCGTATTATGAAAATTTTGTTTTGTGCTTAATCATGAATGAAACAAATAATATTTATGTACGATTTATGCAAATAATTAAGTATAATTTATAATCAAATATTTATCATTTTCGAGTTTATATAAGCATTGATAGCATGTAATAAAATGTTTGAAAGTAAGACAAAGTTTTTTCTATATTTCACCCAGTTAAATGATATTTTAGAATAGAGAATCACCAATATATATTTCTGTTGAAGGCCAATTATGGACCAGATATGTTTTATTTTATTTCTTAAAAGTTTTTTTTTATATTTTGAGTGCCCTTTATTTAAAAAGTACTCGCTGGCTATATTTTGTTTCTGTTGTTTTTTTAGCAATAAATACAGTTACAGTGGTTTAGTATTTTCTATTGAAGTGAAGATACTACTTTGTTTGTATTTCGCTACTTTTATGACATATTATTTCGCATGCAGCGCTACTTTCTTCAGGTAATGAGCATCAAACATGTCTAAAACAATTATTCAAATGTTACAAAATTATGTTTGCCATTGCCATTTAAACTGAAGAAAAAGAAAAAAATGTTTAATGTGCCTTTAAGAATTGTATTTTGTTATTGCAAAATTAATAGTGAGCTTTTTTTGAATTATCATTCCTAAATTATGGTCAGTTTAAATCGTGTAAAGCATATAACAATGCAAAATATAAATTGGATTTATTATATTTCTCGACAACAAAATCGAAAAGAATTAACAACAATACAAAAACAGAAGATAACTTTCCTGTTAGTCAAAATTATAGCAGCAAATTTCATTTGTTTTTGGCACAATTATCGTCTGATTTATTAGCTATAATGAGTAAGTACCAAAAGATTTGAAATGAAGTAATTAAATATTTATATAAAAAATAAAATAGCATTTAGATTGAATTGCATTTGTTTTGTTCTGTGGGATATATCAAAGTTTCATGTTTAAAGCTTATTTTACAACGTATATAAAATAGCAGATAAAAGACTTTTACTTAAGCCCCTTAAGAGAATAGATTTAAGAACGTTGTCACCATATATATCAACTTTTGTCGCAACGTAATTTAAATATGACAAGATTTGATTTACTACACGATGAATTCTAATTGCTTTTTAGCGGCTCTCAAAAGTGTGCGTGTGTATTCAGGCTCAATGTTGATGGACGTCAAACGGTTAAAGATTTCAATCATAATGATAATATATTGTTTTATGTACATTATTGTGTAATATAACGCGAGACAGGAAGACAATATTGGATGTACAGTTAATTTCAAAACAATTCCTAATTCATGGGTACTTTTACAGCCGCTGAATCATTGAAATAAGAACTAGGTAAAGGTACAAAGGGCATTTAAATAAGGTTGACCCTTGTAGAAATAAGAAATAAAGAATCTGTCTGGATTGTTTTCTTTTTTTTAAATTTGGGTGAAATTTGTAACAAAAGTAAACTATTTGTATTTACTTTAAACATGTTGTTGAATAAAAGTTAAAGGCTATGTTAACATTCAAAAGCAATTTATTTTAAATGCATGCAAAAATGGTATTTTTTGGAGCTCTCTTTTTAAGTTGATATGTTCCAAACAATATATTCAATTTTTATTTAGATGACTACAAATGCTGGGTTACAGAAACTAGAATAGTTCATCATTATAAACATAACAAATAAATGTTTGGTTTTGATTAAATATTTCTAGAATTACTAAGATTCTTAAAAAAAGGCTAACATCTCTTCAACTAATTGATTGACCTAACTATTATTTGTATTTCTTTTAAAACTAACATACACAATGCAATTGACTTAAACGGCAAGCAAAAATGAAATTTTGAAGCTTTCTTTTTTATTTGGTATGTTCCAAACAATGTATTTCACTGGCGGGTTGGTTTTAATTACAAATGTTGGATTACAGAACCTAAAATAGTTCATTATTATGTATATAAGATGAGATTTTTGTTATTTTTACAAAATGGACGATGGAATATTTCTAGAATTATCAAGATTCCTTGCAAAAATGCTAACAACTAATTGTGATTGGCCTAGATATTTATTTTTTAAAACTAACTAAATTGCATGCAAAAATAATATTTTGAAGCTTTTATTTTTAACACGATATGTTCCAAACACTATATTTTGTATTTGTTTTAAAAGCTAGATTGAATGTAACCAAATCTTACTAAAATAACAGTAAAAACATTAAACAGCAATACGCGAGACATTAAAAAGAAACTCTAGTTGTTTTTAGCATTAAATCATTCTTATTAGTTGGACTGAAATTGTTATGATATCATAAAGATTGTACTTAAAATACTTTGAATTGAAAAATATCTTCATTCTGTTTTAATACAGAATAAAAAGTTTTATAGGAAAGCCTTGGATATGTCAATCAAATATTCTTGTATTAAATTTCCGTCTCTTTTGCAAGTTTTATTTTATATTTTGATTCACACACACAAAAAAACAACAGTTTAATTGTAATACAAAGTTGAAATGTCAATTGTTATATTAATCAATTATACTGTGACAAATTAAAGCACTGTTTTGCGGTGTGTTTTATTTTAAAACTGTATTTTTGTATAGCCTATTTTACACTTTATTTATCCATTTTATTTGTTTTTCGTATAAAAAATCCAAACCGCTTTATCTTGAAAGGTTTAAAAAAAATACTTTAATATTCCATGCACATATAAATAGGAAACACATTTTAACCCTTACAATAAAATGTATATTTGTTTATTGTGTTTGTCTCATAAATTCACATTTTAAAGTTTTGAGCATCACATATAAAGTATGTTCATTGCTATATATATAATGTTATGAACAAAATTATAAAACATTTACCTTTATACATAATGAATCATATTTTTTTACCCGTTTCATTTAAAAGAATATCAGTGTAAATTAATTTTTTTTAAAAAATTGTGTTGTTGTTTGTATTTCATTACACCATAGATTACAATTACATTTATATATCACTGTAAAATCATTATTGGTCAACTATATAAAGCAAAGAAAAAAATGTATTTAACATTCTCTTTATGTTGATTTACCCATCTATTTTACAACAAAACAGTTACACCATGTGGCTATGCTCATTACCATGTTATGAATGAAATGGCGTCAGCTATACGCCTGTACAAGATAGGGTTTATACGCCATTAGTTTGAAATCGCATATACATTAAAATAGCTACTCCGTGTTAATGTTTGTTTCGCATTTTGATAAATTTGTGTAAAGATTTTGTTAAACGTCTTTCTGCCATGTCATGGTATGTTTTTATGTACATAATAAAGAAAGGAAAGACTATGTTTAGTGTAATTGTCCAAGTTTTGATATTAAGAAAAATAGTAATTTTTACAGTGTCATTTTGTAAATATCTAATTCATTTTCTACTCAAGTTTCAGTGTAATAATAAATTACCAAGATTTTTCTTGGCATGGCAAATTAATTCCTAAAGGCATTTTTATGTGTTCTTGGAATAAACATCTGAATTTAATTTCATTTTTAAGTGATTCAATATCCTTTTATTTAACACTGACTGAAATATATTTTGCTTTTACAGTAACTGGTCTACAGTTTTTATTTTTTATATGCATGTTTGTTTACTTCTACTTATGAAATTGTTCTGTTTTGAATAACGGTATGATATATTTATTTACAGATCTGTCTTTATTCAAGAGAATTTCATAAATTTATAGTCTTAAGTTCTCCCAGATATCCATTTGAGCTGCATCGATTGATTGATATTCATTCATAAATAATTCATAAGTTAATATATCATTTTGTCTGTCCCTATCTAATGAGGTTGAATCAAGTTTCTAAAAGGAAACTGGTATTATTTAAAACTTGTTGTTTTTTTTGATAACTTTAAAAAAAAACACAACAATTATTGAAATCAACCGAATTAAGTAAAAAGTTTCTTTATTATGAACAGGAAAATGTTGGTTTCATGACTTTTAACAGTTACAGGCGCTAATATTGTAACCTTCAGCTAAAGTATATAATTAAAGTGAAACGTGAGATTAAATACTTTTAGAATTGAACAAGCATAAAAACGTCACTGTACCCATCGGAGCTTTTAATTACGGAGTTTGTTGCCTTTTACTCATGCAGGACACTAACATTTTAAGCAATTTAACAAAACATTACTCGAATCAGTATGGAGTGCCAAACTAACCAAAATACAAACAAAGAACAGAAGTTTTCACTAAAAAAACTTTACCACTGCTAGTACATGTTTACAAAATTTTATACAAATAATATAGGACAGCCAAGTGGATAGCTAATGAGCCGTACACTATACGCCGCTACTAATGGCAAAAATATATCCCATAACAAATTTTTAAACACATCATGATAAAAAATGTGTCTCAATCTAGAAAACTCACCCTGGCTATATTGCATTCTCCTCATCCATGGATATATATGTGGTGGGGGATAGTTTTGTTGTTCCCCCGGGGAATTCTGTTGTTGCCCATGTGCTTGAGTATGTGTAGGAGTTGGAGGAGTGTGTTGCTGCGGTGATGTCCGATTTTCCTCAACTCCCCCACCTCCAGCACTGCGCATTTGACCGTTCGCAAAGAACGCATTTCCAGAATTTGAATTTGTTCGAACACTACAGCTTGATCTATCCACGCCATGTATAGGATGCACATTTTGCGGCGTATGAGATCCGGTGTGTAAGTTTTGAGGTGATGAACACGGACTGTTTGGCGGTAAATGGCTTAATCTTGAAGTTCCATAGTAGTCGCCATTTTGTTCATCTAATCTTTCTTGTTTTGACACATACGGGTAACGCGCACCGGCGAATGCCGGGTAAACCGCTCCCGATGGCGGATAATTTACATTCCTGTAAAAGTTTCCATCGGCACAGTTATCCAAACCGGCTGTTTGACCGTAACACGTTGAGAGAGAATTCACAAAATATGAGCTCATCTGTTTATTGAATAATTGCCACTATAAAGCTGTCCGGCTGTCAAGGTTCGGCGAGCTAGAATGAATTATGTTGATGTTGATGACTCCACTGTTTTCATACGGGCAAATAGATTCAACCACTTAAAACATTCAATATAAAACACGTGCTCGTGTGAGCCAATAGCGTAGCGTCTAGCGGTGGTTCAATGTAACAGTAGACGCTGAAATTTGAATATAAAAGGTTTGTATTTACAGTCTGATTTTTAGTAAGTGGAGTATAAATATATAAGATCTACCCACTTATACTGAGATAGTAAGAAATATATCTTAGTCGTAAATATTCGAATACTATCGGCTGTTTTTCGTTTGATCGAGTAATGCTTTTGGCTGATAATTTGAGTAAATATATCAAGCGTATATCATTTGATAAATTGATAATAAACTTGTATTTGATCCATTTTCATCCAATGTGTCGTTTTGTTTAAGTTTTGATTCATATTTTAATATTTGTGATGAAATTTTGTTTTCTAAATAATTATTTATATAAATTGAAAATAATACACATTCATACCTTTTTAATAGCATCCAATTGAAGTCCTCTGCGTCAACCCTGAAAATAAACAAAGAATATAGTTTTCATACTATATTTTTGTGACGAAAATCCATTTCCCTTTTTTCACATATCAAATTATATATCACGTAAACTCCAAGTAACACTGTATATAATTTTCACAAAATGAGCACTAACGTTAAAGTATATCTATAAAAAAAGATATATATTTTTTCATCTTGATTTACATCCATTTATTTTAACAACCCTTTCATTACACACTACTTGCGGCTTGTACACGGCGCACAAAAACGCAAAAGAAGCGACATAATCACAATTATTAATATTCTGAAGGAAACTTGAACTCGCTGGCTTAGCTTAGAGCAGCCTCGCATTCCGAAAGAAATTACTATAATATATCAAAATATATTAACACGTGCGACTGTATAACATTTAGACGTTTAAACTACTTTATTGTTTACCGGAATGAAACTATTAATTTTTCATTCTCCTACCGAGCTGAAGGAGCATTGAATTTCGTAGGTTATTTTTTTACGGATTTATTAAAACACGCCATCTCTCGCGTTAGTTTTGTCGGTATTTTATACATGCTTGTTCGGATAGTAATTCTGTATTTTTTGAATTCCCTATTGAGTTAAAAATGAGCTTAATGTTTACAAACATGGGTTATGAATTAAATATTGCCTTTATTTATTCTATTTCTAGATATAAGCCACATTTCATGTGTAAATATTAAATATTTAAGTTAAAATATAAACTAAGTTTGCGACATTTACAAAGTTACGCTTAAATAACACATTCTAGTGAATGAAAAATTGCTTAAATGTTGGTTTTTAATATTCAACTTTTTCATATTCACGAGACAACTTTTGAAGTATATTAAGCACACGTTTTTATATTGAAATATGGTCATTAGTTTAGATAATACTTAGATTATATGGATATGAGATTATTTATAGCTTGACATGTCGTTTTATAATATAATTTATTCATCTAAGCATCATAATTATATGAAGAAAACGGCTGAAGTATCATGATTAAAAATTTAAGAAAATGAGATACATGTCCGTTTTAATCCATATAACGACATGTTCCTAATTGCTTTTCAAATTGAGAACATACTTTTTTTTAAAAAATTACATTGTTATTGTAAAATAATATATAACTAAATTTATTATCTTTCAAAAAGATATCATAATATATTCAGAAAAAATGACTGACCTGATATCGAACAGTACAGACAATTGTATTGAAAGCAATTAAATGTGCACGAGTTAGGGTTTAACATTCGCATTAAAATAAAACATAATGTAACGGGAACATAAACGATCGCCTAAAATAGCCTAAGTAAAAATGAAACAAGTTTGATTAGAATGAACCTGTTCGTGGACAACAACGATAACGGCGGAAAGTGTAATCCATGCCTCCCTAGCACCGGCCAGGGAAAAATTCAACATTTTAGAATTATTGAATGTTTTGAAACAACTGCATTGTGTTCGCTATGTTGATAATATATTTTAGATACAAAATATAAACAAAAATATGGCGCATAACCTGAAACAAATTTAGTGGTATGCATCACTTAAAAAGATGTAAAAAAGATGGGACAATTTTTAAGTCACTTTACATTAAAATAAAATATTTGTATAAATATACATATAACAGTTAACGACTAAATTTAAGCTTTTAAAACCACCCTCTGTAATTTAAAATGGTATAAATTGTTTTAAATTTAATTTTCAAGTCCAAACATGGCCTCTGTATTAATTTGTCATTTTTCAATTCGTATTTTAAAAGGAACAAATATTTGGACTTAAAAAGCTACGTGAATATTTTTATAACGTAGTAAAACAATTCAACACGGATTTTTTTACAATTTTTAAAGGTATGTCAATGAACATAAAGAAGGCAAATTTGTTATCACTGCATAGTCTACACGTATGATCAAATTAAATAATTATAATCGTGGCTTTAACCGATGGATTTACAAAAGTATATGAAGATCTTTAACTTAAAAGAATCGTTGTGTTTATTATATGTATGAATAAAATAAAAGGATGTATACATATTTATAAAAACTTGTTAAATGTTCCTTGTGCATTATTGAATCAAAGACAAAAATAATCACAAACCCAATTTTTCTACATTAGATATATCAATATAAACTGGACGGTTTAAATGTCATATTTCCAATCGATTCAATATAACATCTCTTTTTAACAAGCGTAAAGAAACATGGATAAATCAAACGTTTTTCGTAAAATAGTAAAAAATGTCCTCAACGTTAAGTAATGTTGACAGATGGACTGCCTTTTCATTAACTGATTAAATAAATTTTGCATCATTCCGTAGCAATATAATCTCCGTATATGTATAACAAGGATGGGTTTAATATACATGTTTGATTTAAGCACGTAAGGGCTGATGCTGCAAAACAGATATTTAAGGATAAGGAACTAGTCTTGGTAATATAACGCCGATATGAAATAATGCGATTTGTTTTGTAGCCAATATAAAATAACCATTGCCGAAAGAAGAATAAGAGATTAATTTTATGACCATATAAATTATCATGCTTACGTTTATACACGCATAAATATGGCAGGTAAATAAGCACACCGTAAATAGTAACACCGGGGTCACATAAATTGAAAACAAAAATGTGTCACGGTGTCACAAGTGATTCTGATGAAGCAACTTGTCAGAATTTGGAGACGCACAATCCTCTGGCAAAAGAAAAATATTCAGATGATCAAGTCAAGCGTAACAGGAAAGTCAGGCTGTGTGTCGCTGACAAGAACAAAGATAGACAAGGGGAAAGGTGCGCATAAGTCATGCCAGCTTGTAAAATATAGATAAGACCAGGCCAATTAACCCGCAACTATGATTATACGTTGATATAGTAAGACAACTGGCAAGCTTTTGTGTTGCAAAATAACACAAAAAAAACACAATCCAATTCATATTTCAAATGATGCCTATGAAATAAACAAAGAAATAGATACAAAAAAAACCTCCGAAAACAATGTAATAAGATTGACCATGCCACTTGGAATAGAAAAGTTTGACAGTTAAACTTTAAACAATTGAAAATTTCATTTTCATATTTATGAATGGAATATTTTACTACATGTATGAAAAATCAATTTGTAAGAATAGAAGGCTTTATTGACAGTTAATTATATTTCTTTCAGACGTGCCTTTGACCAAGTTACGACCAAACGTTAGCCTCATTAACTCTCTCAAAAAGGTCAAGATATATGTCACTGATAACAAAAAATTCACTAAAGTCTTCCCTTAAAACTGATATCAAATTATGAATAACGGCTTCGTGATTTAGATTACTTGTGCCCTCTCTAGACGGTGTTGTAGATTGTTTATTCCGTAAGTAAATAGATACAGTTGAGCAACGACGATCACAGGGATCCCAGGCGGCGATAACGGCGTTTCTTTAGCACGCGACAGCCAGGCCTCATTTGTAATGAAAATAATCCGAAAACATAATCGATTTTCCATTCGAATTTGCCATGCTGAATAATTTAGGGAATATTGTATGAGAGTGTAGTAAGAAAATTTTGTAGTAACTCCAAAACGCCAAGGCGATGGAATGATTGTTATTAAAGTTGAGATCCGGTATAAGTTGTTTTTTATATTCTATTTTCTCCTAATTTTGCATTAATTTTCATACAATGTAAAGTGTTTAAAATGTTTTTTCTTTCTTAAAAACATAATCCATGTACTAGACTTCGTCAACAAATCGTCGTATTAACTGAAATCTATTTACATAACATTTAATAATAGATGTAAGATATTTATCTTTTAGTTAGAATTTTCACAATTATGCATTTATACATTTGTTTCATCGTTTTCGTTTTCTGCCAGTATTCAATTTATACTTCATTTCAATCGTTCGTTTTATTGATATATAAATCATTGTGAACATATATTGCATTGTTTTCAACATCAATGCATTGTTGAAATTAGGAACATATGCACGCTTAAACAATATTCGTTATGCGTCTTTTTTGTACTATAACAATTATTGTCTAACAATATGGCAACTAGTTAAGCTAATCCGTCAAATGTCGTTCAAGGCACATTAAGGCTTACTCTATAGCTTGTTTCACAGCCAACACTAATTCGATATATAAATATTCAGAAATAATAGAAAATATTTGGGAGTATGACTCATGTTCATGTTTATGAGATCACTTTTCATTAACCTAGATTGTAAATCAAAATGCCAGGTAAATTCGGAGCTGTTATAGAAATATTATGTTTATGTTTATCCCCGTAGGTAATAAATTTAGATATTTATTTTATGCTATTGTAGCGATTGTTAACGTGTAATCAAGAAATGAGGAGTTAGCTTAAAAAAGGAAGTTTTCTTTTGGAAAGTGCTGCACGTCTACAAATATCTAACAGTGTTATATCTAACACTTGATAACAATCAAACATAGCTTTAAGTAAAACACGTTTTTTGTCGTTTATGCTTACTTCTTTTTCGAATTTCTATTTAAGTAGCTGTATATTGACAATTTTGACTGTTGAAACATTAACTTTGAAAAAATGTTTTATTTTCAGCTACGATTAAAGGAGTTGTGTTGAATTGAAACGGTCGAACCTTAAGAAACTTAATTCTTGTTATTTATAATTATTCACAACTGATAGTATGAGTATAAAATTGTTTTGAATTCAAATCAATCCATCAATCCATTACTTTAGTGAATAAAGTATAAATTTACCTAAATAACTAGTAAGATGTTTAAAATATTCCTATTAAACTCAATAAAATCAGATAATTTGCATATAACAACAGTTAGGTTAAAAGAAAGTTATACAAAGCGGTGCATGGGAGCCACATTACTAAACTACTTGACATTTGTTTAATATTTAACGGGAATTCAAAACAGTTTTGAATTGCAAAATAAAAAACTTATGTATTTTTCAACAAAAATTATTGAAAAGAAATTGCACATTTGACATTTAAATAAAGTACAATTTGAATCTATTATTCTTCCCGCCTTTAAATGCACAGTATACTGTTTCTTAAACATGAATTTAAATGAACATAAATCATTTTTCTATGTGCATGCTGACTTAATTCAGACCCCGTGGCGACAACACGCAGTAGAACTCTCATGTAATTATCACCAATTGTTGAGACCTATGACAAATGATGGAGTCTATATAAGTTACATTAATAATTTTTAAAGTTACAACCTTTGATAAAACATTAGCTCTTATTGCATTTTAAATACAAGTTTTGGCTATAGATAATGTATTTGCACTACATGGAACTATTGACACATATCCAGTAAAGATTAAATAACAATATTCTGTAAGATAATTAAATATTACGATTTTATGTAGATTTGACAATGTTTTATATTGGTGGTATCAAAGAGAAAGTAAGAGATGTAAAATGTCGATGGAACATCATTTTTGATAGTTTGATAATAACCGTAAAAACCATATTGTGATTAGTACAGATAAAAAGGAGGAACATTGTAGACTAACTTAGTAGAATCTATATGTTATATGCTTTTAAATAACATACAAAAGTCTATTTTCCCTAGCAAAGACTTAAGCATTATTCAGTTTTAGGAATTAAAGATGAGCTAAAAGTATAGCAAATATACTCGTTAATGAATTTTGAGATGGGCGATATCCACAGATAAATAAAAGGATAAAGTACAGGTTTGTATTTGTAATCCTTATAGGAAAAGCACAGCCACTTCAGCCAGACAACGAAATAAGAAGAATCTAGTCTTTAGATTTAGAACAGTAGTGAATTCACCGAATAACAAGAAATATTATACCTAAATCTGGTAGAAGAATCTGTGACAATTTTGAGAATTGTAAAAGAGAAATCTATGATGATATACCATATATACCTTATTGTGATCTATATATATCTTTTGGAATTAAAGAAGCCAGCCACAAACATTCTAAATAAATATCATATGATCAAAAGAGAAATATACCGGCAGAATATCGTCCCATATTAAAAACAACAAGAAACAACAATGTACGATTGTGTTTTATATCAAAGAATCGATGCGTTTGTTGAAGATTGTCAGTCGCACATTAAATTCGATGCTGTGCAAGAGTTGCATGATATAAAATCAATATGAAACGTGATAGTTCGTAAGAACTGCTGATCAAAGCATCGGCGTTACAACAATCTTTCAATATCTTACATAAATCATGACGCCATAGATGACAAGAGCATGACTGAAACGTCTTTAAACATTCTAAAATGATCGTATTTCTGTGTCACTCAAAGACGCTCTAATTAAGTTTCGTGGTATTTATATTTTATAAAGATTTTACAGAAATGCAGGATTATCAGACATATTACAAGTGTAAAAATCAAAATACAAACCTTTAAAGTATAAAGGTAAAGATAACACAAAGTAACTTGCAACTGATGAAGTTGTTCCATTTCCTACTTTATTCGTTATAGATCAACTTCTGTTAAGTTTCTTTTTCATTTTTAGAGTAAGTTTTGATATAAAATTATTTAAAAACCTAAGGCATATTTAGTCTTTCCATAAGTGATTTATGATATTGACTCAAAATAGATAAATACAGAATCCCTAAAGAAAGCCCAACACGGCAAAATTGAAAATGTTGCAGGCTCGGTTTGATTGAGCCTGTTCATGGACGGTACTGGAAAGTGCAAGTTACCGTCCACGCCCCCTAGCCCCCTAGTCCACGTCCACGCCGTCAATACACACATGCAGTTTTCTTTTTTTCCGAAAGGTCTAGAGAAAATACAGACAAACAGGTGCTCGTTCTCAAGAAGATTGTATTAGTCGAATATTCTAAGACAGAAACTTTCTCATTTCATCTACTGAAGAACGTAAAACGACAATGATATATGGCTGCGCCCGATGTATTTGGATAAGTTTGCCCTTTAATTGAAAACTTGTCCGTGAACATATTAGTTTCTGGCCCTTGGTATTTGATCAGGAAGGCGATCATTTGTAAAGGGCGTCTAATCGTTCGGACTTGGCTGACCAATTCATTCAAGTTTTCGATAAAATAGGATATTTGTTCTCACTGTAATTTATGATGTGTCTGCGGAATTTAAACAGCAATATGATTGTCTTCTTTGGCTTGACCACAAAGACGAGGGTCAATCAATAGAAGTAATTCTAGTAGTATTGATAAGAGTGTGTGCAAACACCATTGTGTCCATAATAAAGGTGTAAACAGAATTAAGAAAATTCTTCATTTAAGTTCGCTTAAATCCATCGATCTGATAAGGGTAACATCTTGTTAAGCATTGTCATCATCATAACATTTGACTTTATAAAAGAAAAAAAAATAGAGCGAAATTGGTCAATTTTTATAAAGCTACTTTAGCATCCAATTTGTAAGAACCTTTTCGTAAAATCGAAAGTACAAATTCAGATATTATTGAATCAAATTTATTTATAATGACTATAAAGTTTAAATTCATAATAAAGTTGAATTTCTATGAGATGTCAAGTTCAGCAAAACCATTGTCAAGCTTGTAAAAAAAATTAAGGGAGGCATACAAAACATAAACAAAAACGCTTGTTAATCATTATGTGTAAATTATTATAATTGATTTCTTTATAAATTGTGAAAAATATTAAGAGTTCTCAAGTTCATAAGAAAAGGGGAAATAAAGAATGTTTGAGAAATGTCGAAGATAATTTTTGTTGTACTGTAACTGTTTTAAAATTGTAAGTTTTAGTATTCCTTTTCAATCCTTTAGTTAAAGTTTTAATTCAATAACAATAGAAAAGTGTCATTTCCTTTATTTTCATGTCCCATCTTTTTATACAAATTTTGTCTTTTCTAAATAAAGTTTCAACTTTATCTATGATTGTTTCAACATACAAATTAATTATAATATAATAGTTAAATTATTCTGATAGAATCTGTTAGTTCTGTTTAATAATATTTTTTATTGTAACAAGCATTCCTTCAAATGTATTCTTATTATATTTTGAGACCCTGTTGTTTTTTCTTCAATACCAGTTCAAAAATTTCTTTACTAATGTATTAAATCAAAATACCTGACAATTTGCAGACAATTTTATAAAGCAACATTTTCCCAATAGCATAGTAAATGTTCTAAAATGTTTTAAGGAATAGTTTTACTTCAGTTTTCATAAATTTTGAGATACATTTTATGCTTTTTTTGTTCTACTCTGAAATTTGTTTTATAAAATCAGTACAAGGAGGGTAACGAAATTCAGATCAACAGAAGGCAGAAACATTTTTTATTTCTTTGTTGCCGAATTTTGCCTTTGCCAGAACAGATACTGTATAAAAAATACATTTGAATCATCCTCCCTTACAATTTGCTAGCCTGATTTTTCTAAAGATATTCGCCTGCTTTTAGCATCCTTCCAATTTTCTATCAGTGAAAAATGTGTTTTAAATTCAACGATTTCATTCCAAAGTCGCCTAACCAAAAACATGGCTTTGAAATTTAAATGCCTGAACCGCTTGGGGCTTTTTACTTTGGAACAGGAAAACTTAAGCAAATAATACACTTTGACATTGATGAAATGTAGTTCTTAACTGTTTCACAAAGCCTCGGGATTTGAGAGCACTCCAAATTGCTTTAAACCAGATTAATAAATGGTTTTGGTGATATTTATTTCAGAGACAAATTCGAGCAGGCGAAAAACGATACAGCACATTGTAAAAGAAAACGGTCGAGATTTTTAAAAAGTTTTCGTTAAAAAAATATTATTCTTTGTTAAGTTCAAAGCTTTTGGTAGCAGCAATTTACCTTGCACCATGGATTCTTGATTTCTTCAAAAACAAACATTCTTATATATCATTACCATTATATGAATTGGACCTTTTTATAGTTTATCAATATAAATGTTACACAATAGGAAAAGAATACCTTTCATACTGTATATGCAAATTGCTATATATAAACATAATTTACAATCTTCATGTTTCATATTAGAAAACATACATAACATCAGTGGTTGCTGATGTCTATGATTATAATTTATTCATATCAAAATCTATTTTACATTTGAAACTATTCAAAAACGTTAAGAAAACATCTTTTAATTTTTTAATATGTACACTAAGTATAAATAAAAATCAGTTTCACACCAAAGTTAACCTGTAAAATTAAAATAGTTCTTCTTTCTCTTTAAGAGTAAACAAAAGGCTTCCGAATAAATAACTATTTTAGAATCCATGCCCAGATAAGATTTTTGTTGAACCCTGAAAATCGATTTTAAAAAAATTGTACTTTGTCTCAAATTGTTTTTGTTTCAAATCAAAATAACGAAATTAGCAAATTTGTGCAAGTGATAATACGTACATATATTACAATTTTGTTTAGGATAGTTCATAAGTGAAGCATAGAAGAAAATATACAATAACGAATGACACACTATTATGGTGTTTCGTTATAAAATACTTGTCATTCAAAATGTTGACTGACGTGTCGTTATGAAATATACGGAACCGCATAAATATTATCTTTCTGTTTTTTTAACAATTTATTGAACGTATGCAGTGCACTGGCAAAAAGTATACAATTTTTGTTTATACAGTATAATTATTTGAGAAAGTAAACTCCACTAAACAAGGTAAAAACCAATGTAAATATGTGTTTTTCGTGAATTTATTTAAATTTTCCATTAAATACTAAAAGTATACTCTTGCCATCATATTTTGTTTAGGACATTTCTAAATAGATGTAATACATTTAACATTCATAATATACTGATTCGTCATCTGTTTGTATATTACTATAGTTACCAAAAAAATCTAAAATAATGCTAAATTCTTTACCAGATTATTACGTCATAGGTTAATAAAATTCCTCCTGTCCCAGGCATTGGTATTCTAATTCATAAATGTCTAATTGATTACTAACATTTTCAATCACGGCAATTTTATAACATTTTAAAGACGTTTATCCGTGTGTACATCCCTCGATTTATGTCCCCTTATTTTCTAACTCACTTCATCCGAAGAATGGAGCCGTTTTCAAATTGGACAAACCGCCAATGATCTACACATAATGTTGAACGCAAGTAGCCATAATTAGAGTACATAAATTTAACATGAACATAAAAACGTCAAGGGGACAAGATTCGGGTGTAAATAGGGTTGAACGGGGAAAATACATCAAGATTTATTTTATACATGAGTAATGACACTCATTTTGTCAAAAAATTTGCATACGAAATGTGAATGAATGATATGTAATTTATGACGGAACATTCTAATACTTGTTAAAACATAATAAAAAGTCTGCTCTTAAAACTGATTACTTGAAAACTGAAGATATTCTCAACCAATGAAATGATGAAAAATGATCTCTGTTTAAGATTACAGATATCTGTTTATTAACTTTTTGTTGCGCAAAATATCATGCTTTTTCCAACGTATTAAATGTCATATACTTTTTCAGTATTCATATTCAGTTAAAAAAAAATGAGAGAACAATTTTTCATTTTTGAAAAACTTACATTCACCCTATAATTATAATGAAAAGTTTTCTTTCCATTTGTTTTTAATTTGGAATTGAATATTGAATAAGTTTTCAATGAAGTAATACAGGTTATTTAAAGTTATTAAATAACATTTTTTATTTATTAAATTGACTGCCTGATTGATTAAAAAGTTTTAAAATGCTAATGTTTGAAATATTGCGTTTTTTACAGCATATAATTGTTACAAATTGATTGAAAAGTAGCTAATTTATAAAACGCTGTGGCTTTAACGCACTAAGTAGCAACCATTTAATTACGGCAACAGCGTTTTGTTGCAGAACATTGTGTTCTTGCTCCCACTCAATTTCTAAATTTAGAAAGGTGTTGACTGTAACGAAACCCGGTCTCCATCTCTACCCCGCTTTTACCAAGCCTATCTGTTAGAGATAGATAACTGCATACTTATACCCATTATCATGATTGTCAGGGATATAAAACATTACACTTTTATCAGAACCAAGAGGTTCTACTAATTTACGATCCTGGAGCCTGGTTAGCCTTAAATTCATGTAGTGTCGGCATCGTCATAAGATAGACTTCAACCGTTCACAAGCAGAAACACTCATGCGTTCTTTAAAAAATCTTTTACGAATATCGGCATATCGCATTTGGTAGGAATTTATTCCTTGTGGTTAAATGTGCAATAACGACGCGGGGAACGAATTATTTGGTCATAAAATAGAAGTAGCATTACTCTTAGACTAAACTTTATGAGCATAATTACAAAGCCGTCAAGAAAAATTGTTTTAGCTAAGATATGATAGATTAAAGGAAATGGTTATTTCTTAACACCATTGCTTAATAATTTAATGAAGTATATTTATGTATTTGAAAGGTTTACAAGAAAACATAATATTGACATGTGTTTTGCATTTTCATGCATTGTTAATAGTTCAGCTGCATACAGATCAAACATTTGTCATGCTTATGATAATTTATTTCACACTGATAGGTAGTACTTATCAACTAAAAATTTCTATGCTTTTTTTTCAAGTGATAATAAAAGAGAAAATATCATACCTTACTTTCCCTTTAAATAAACATGACTCTACAATGTATGTTTTGAGATTATTTGCATATGATGTAATTTGTTCAGAAGTATATTATCTAACAATTAAAAAGAAAGGAAAGAAAACGCTTCAAAACGGTATATATTTTTGACAGAAAAAAAATCCAATAAAAACAATAAAACAACCCCAAAAAACCAATGTAATACAAAAGTATTTCAATAATGGTCCTCATGTTTAAATATCCTCCAAAGTTGCCAACATACGCGTCCAGAATTGTTAAACGTTTGTATGAGCTACAATCGTAATAAATTTGATACTATTTCTCTATATTCTTGTTCGCTAAAATCATTTTCTGACCTCTTAAATAACAAGAAAGGTTAATCAAAATAGCCATATAAATATAATATCTTGAAGTAGATTATTTTATTATTCAAAATATAAATGTTTCATTATAGATTAAAAGTAAATACAAAAATATCACAAAGGTTCCTAAAAAGAATAAGCAAAAGTGAGTAGATTAGAAATTAAATATTTGAAAGTTTATCTGTGTGAAATGATACAATATAGCATCAGAATATTTGATAAAATACCCTGGACCTGAGCTATATACATGTATTGAATGAAATAAAGTATCAAATTCTATTTATTATACGCTGTTCACTTATACATGTGTACGATTCCATTGTGGTATTAATACCATTTACACTTTTACCAATGAAATAGAACAATTATGTCAAGATCTTATCTATTCAGTGATTAACTTTGCATTCATTACTATTTTATCTTAATCATTAAAAAAATCGAACAAATTTTGTCTCATTTGAACCATTTTCTGACTAATTTACTTAAACCAGTTTCACAGTGCATTTGGTAATAGCTTTTTAACATGGGTTTACTCTTTCATTTCTATTCTTTTTTAAAAGAATGCGAAGTTGCTTTCCCGTGGACTATTAGTGGTTGACAAACAGAACAACAATTTGTCGTTCATCTTATTCAAAATACATTTAAAAGCAGTTATATGAATAATTGAAACATTTAGACGGCGAACAATTTACACAGTTCAATGTTACTGAAAAACGTTGAGTCTAAAATCACTTCACTAAACAATCTAAGCGTTCTTACACGGGAATATTTATGTGTTCCTGCCGTGATAGAATCTATTATATTCGGCCAGACTTTAGCCTTAGTACAGGGTGTTGTAAATGGTTTTCACGTAAGACACGACCTAGCTTATGTTTTGACGTTTTGTCCCATTAAGGTTTGTTATTTATTTATATTTACATTCCAACTGATTGCTGACGGCCTTAATTTATGTATTTACAACATGCAGTACTTTTGTTTCTGACACACATACATTTTGCTTTTACTTAAATCCGTAAAATGATTCATAAGTAAGAATCTGATTTTCAAAATATCTTTAAAGAAAACGTTAAAATAGTGCCGAGACAAGTTTTCCAGGAAAATGAAGAAATTTGATTTAAATAATATAAATTGTCTTATAAGTGAAAGAACGTTATCAATTTCATATACAGACTTATTTAAAATGATCCGCTTTCTTTTTGGTCTACGAAATTGCTTTTTTAGTCTGAACTTATTTAACTCGAAGTTTCTCTTTCCATAAACATATTACTTAGTTATTATATTTTCCCTATTTGCGGCAAGCCCATGAATAGACCACAAAAGTACCATAATAAACATTTTATAGTTTATAATAATGCAGTACATGTAATATATTGAAAACCTTTGTTACATGTAAATACATGTAAATCACAGAAAAATTATCTATAAAATGATATCTTTAAAATTTACTCTTTCGTATCACATTACTTTCTATTTATTTTTCAAATTTCAAAGAAATCTGATTTCAAAAGGAGCTATTGCAATTGGTGAGCAAACAAAATTTTAACTGCAGTAACATGACATGCAAATAATATATAAAGATTCAGTCTGTGGGAATAAAATTGAAGAAGAAAGAAAGAATCACTGGAAACCAAACCTGATTTCTGTTTTATATTTAAAAAAAGCAAATGGTAACTACCTCAAATGACACTTTCACTTTGTTTATTTATCATGATAGGAATTCAGATGTGTCATTTAAATTAAATACTATGTAATCAGCATTGTTAATGTCGGATTATACGTGTCTTTGCATATATTTGCTATCTCCTTGGGAAAAAAAACGTTTTAAACGTGTCAAGTTAAAGCAGATATAGAGCTGATGGTAACGAATAGTTATAAAAAAACGAGACTTATCTTACTTAGTTTAATCTGTCGATGTTTTGTTTATTTAAATGTTTAATATCTAAAGTTTTAAACTCGTTTTAAATTCAGATCATTACCTCAGAATTTCTTAATTGTTCCTAAAGGCTGTAGGACAATAATTAATTTATTCTTCTCTCAAGAGATGCTCTTTTAATACAATCGTCTGATGCAATTGTATGAGTATTACGTATCCCATTCATTCATTCTTTTTCCAATTTTGTAGATTTCTTCAGGGCTCAACCGTGAAGCATTGCTTGAAATTTGCAACGTTCAAGGATGCAGAGTTTTACCCTGAAGCAAACCAGCGTCAACACATTTCAAGCTATCTCTGGGGTATAATTTCAGGCTGTATCAAAAGAGAGAAGAAGTATACACGGCATCAAAACAAAATCTGCTGCTGAAAGTTTTCTATCTTTATCATACAAAGGTGAAATTGACAGACAGGTGAATTACATAATATAATAATCAAAAGTATACATCTAAACAGAATAGGCATAATCTTATTGAATCCATGATATATATTCCTGCAAGCGCCACAAAATTGATATTTTCTCAAGTTTTATTATATACAAACTGCGGTTTCAATAGATATTATCAATTCAAGGAAACAAAATGTTTTTCAATGTCTGTAAAAGGATGAGGCTTAGAATATGAAATATTGACTGAGCATGTTATATTTTCATATTTCCCAAATAATTATCACAACGCCATGAAACAACTGGCCAATTTTCTTCATTTATCAAATCGTAATAAGCTCAATATTCTGTTTTCCTAGAATTCGATATACTTCTATCATAAATTCATATATCTAAATTTCGTTCACAAACAAATTTATACCTTGCAAGCTTGCAAAAATACCCTAATAGAAGGACATATTTCTTTCTAACTGTCCATGAAACCTTTGAGAATAATTTAAATTCAAATCAAATCACATTTTTTCTAACGATTTAAAAACGGAAAAAGCAACAGAGACATGAATACATTACTAGAAAACATTCGTGATAGAAAAATATACTTTATATGTCTGAATGTAAATAATGTCTTTATGCAAATTCTTAGATTATTGAAGAATATGGCTATACATGCAACAGACAGATGAAATATGGTTTCCTAATAAATTTGTTATTAAGATAATGTATAAACAAGATGGTCTAGACGTAAA